AATCTTTATCCAAACTGATTGGTGAGCCAGTTGGGGGGGCCAATCTGCTTCGCGGATGACATTGTCATTCACCAGCGAGGTGAGTGCATGGGAACTGCAGAAATCCAATTGCATTTCCTATTGCATGATGTTGCCACTACCTTGGTGAAGTCTTGTCAGGTCAAAGAATCGCTTCCCCTTAGTAAGTCATGTGCAATTATATTGCAAAGTGCTAGACCACCAGTTGGTGTTTGTACCCGCCTGTGAATTGCAACAAAAGCCCAGCTGGGGCCAAAGTGCTTTTGCCTTACCCAATTTATTCCAAAGTGCTGGAGAAAATGATCCTAAGCAGAACCCATGTGCTTGGTGGTTGTGTTGTGCGCAAAATTGGCTCCATGGCATGTCATCAACCCGGTGAACGCATGAAAAATTGCAACGCAACAGTGTCCTGACTTGGCATACCACCAAGCCCAGCAAAGTTTTCATTCAGGATAGGTTGGTATAGGTTATTATTGAGCCAAGACAACCAAATGTGGAACCTGAGCGTAGCAACGTAACAACACCAAGTGCACCGCAGACCTCCTACAAGAAGAAAAGAAAGAAGAAGCCGGTTTGTATTCCTCCTTATTTCCAAGAGAGCGGGGCAACCAATGACTGCGGACAGGAGACGCTGGAAGAGTCGCGCTTGGATAAGCTTCTTTGGAGCCACGGTGGATTCGATGTCATGAATGTCGCCCAACCCATGAGCGCAAGCATGAGGGGGGAGAAGAGTCCCACCAGGTAAATGTAAGGTTCCTGTCACTTCATGTATAGCTGAGCGCTGCACTTTTGAACTTGAGTTTGTGCAGTTGGAAGCAACATGTAAAGATGTACATCTTCTGGAATCAGAATGCTAAGAGTCGCATCCTCTTGAGCACTTTAAACACTTGTACAATACACTGAACGCGATTTGGCTCAAGATGTATGAGAAACAGGCGCGTTGTCCACGTTCGAGACGACGTGCCGCAGACATCGAGTTCGATTGTTAACTACTCATTGCAACTAACCAGCCAGTAAATTTTGGTACTGTTGCATCGTGTGTTGGAGACTGCTAGTTGCAACTACGTGTGCACACGCAGCTGGTTTCCACCGCGCGGCCCGTTCTGGAGACGTGAATACTTCGCTAGCATGTTTGTCGCCGAGTCCGAAGCTGCAAGTAGACAGCGCTGTATGCAGCGCCGCGTTTTTCTGGCCGAGTTTATGTTTTTGCGGGACGGCATAAATTTGACAACTCATGGCACACCAGTGTCGCGCAGTTCGGGACTGTGGGATTGAACTTCGACTGTGTTGCCTATACCACAGTATGCGCAGTATTTGCTGAACATGACGTAACTCCCACAACTCCCACGAAGGATTTTGTAAAAAAAAGAATGTCACAACAATCGCGCGCGGCTCGGCGTCGGCTTCGAGGCAGGAGGAGCCAGATGAGGAGACGCCAAAGTGGCCGTATTGGGCAAAGTTCTTGCTGGCCTAGTGGGCGCATTCGTAAGCGCCTCACTTCCAGGATCCCTTGAACCCTGACAACGACCCAAACAGGCGCCGAGGATGGGAGAGGACATGGTAAGGAAACGATAGAATCGAGACAAAGGCAGACTCAAAACAGGCAGATGATGAGACGGATTATGATCCCAATGTGATTTCAATTTTTGCCGCTTGAAAGGTTCTCAGGACGGATCAAAGGTTTCTATGAGACTTCGGGTGGCGGCTATGGCTTCATCGAGCCTTGGCAGCCAGTTGCGATTGCCCCGTGGCAGTTGTCGTTTCACTCTTCTTTCCTTGCGGTCTACTCGAAATTTCCGGTCTCTCATCTTAATTTTTCCCGAGAAGGAGAGAGAATCCATCGGGTGGCGCATGCCGTTGCCGAACCCGGGGCCCAGAGCTGCACTGTGCGCAGTCGGATCCGGATGAAGCTCTTCGACAAAGAGCTTACCGCCAACAACTCGATTCTCGGTTCTCGCCTATAACGGCAACGGTTCTCGCAACCTCCTTTCATCTGTGAGGCCTGTGCCCAGCCTCATGGACAGCTGGCGCGAACAGCAACAATTTTGAGGCCATTGGCTCTCTTGCCAGACCACTACTCAAACTTTAGGCATGCCGGCCATGAACACCTTTGCTATTCAAAGAGAAGGGCGTTCCCTGCCCCTTCCGGACACGCCAGCTTAGGAGACCGATTTTCAAATACCGACTGGCGCCCACAAGTGTTAAGTGCTTGATTCTGATCATGAAGCGAACAGTTGTGGCTTGAGAAGATAAAGCTGGGTTCGCGGGGCGCTTGCAAACGGGCAAGGTGTTGATTGTAAAATCTGCCACCCCACCCAGAGGTCAAATTGCTGCAGGTGCACCATATGCTGGTTTGCGTACCAGCTGACGATGGTTGAGGATGTGTGGAAAAGATCCAACAGCTTTCCTTCTCTCCATTCTCAAGTTTCTTGCAGATGAGAGGAGTTCAAAAAGAAAATCGGAACAAGTGAAAACAGTTTGTGAAACTTAGGATTGCGAGGCCGCGAGGCTGAAGTATGGCCGCGTCCGGGGACGCAGTGTCTAATTCTGGCGTGTTTGAAGCTTGAATGTGGTCGACCAGTCATTGAATGTAAACAGTGGTTGGTAGGCTAGTTCACGCATAGACTGTATCACCACTGAAGCTTCTTTCATTCAAGAAAAAGTCCGCATGGTAGTGGAGTGAGGATCCGAGTGTGCATTTTAGCTCAGTCCATGGAGGTAGAGAGCGCGGGTTGAACGAACTCTTGGCACACCCTTCTTGGGCAATCAGGAAGTGGCTCGAAGCTGAAGGTGCACACCGCGACCATCAACCACAAGAAGAAGATGGAACTTCCGCACTGAGATGAGTGAGGCCAGGTCAAACGGTTGCAAGGACGCCCGATGAAGCAACCCAAGCACGCCACAGGTAGACCCATTTGCCGTTTGCAGGTAGGTGCCACGAGCGCGTTCAGCAAAGAGCCCGTCCAGATATAGGAGAAATGAAGAAACCAAAAAGAGCTCCATGCCCAGGGTCAGCTTTCACTTTTGCAACACCTGAGCTTGAGGGTCAGAGACAAAATCGCCTAGCCGTCAACAAGACAAAATCTCAAGAGGCTCTTGGTGAATGCTGGACGCAGCTTACGGCTTCGGGTTCACGACAAGCCCAATCGCACAATCCCACAATGAGGCGCCCATGCTTTGTGGAACCTGGGCTAGACGCCATGCAAGTTGGGCGCTTAACAGATCCAGGCGGTGAAGGGCGCCCTATGAATTGACTTCTGGAAACACCTTGAGCCTTCTTGCAGAGTATGGTGAACCTGTCCACGGCTGCATCAAAAGCAGCAACAAAGGAGAAACAAGATGGCGCTTGTGCAGCTTTCTTGGCGTCGAAAGTCAGGACACTTACATTCTGACAGATGGCAGACAGATCCTCCTGAGCAAACAGACCAGATTGGCCGGACGCCGATTTCCAACAGTTTTCAATGGCATTACCGGCAGGGAAGAGTGACGTCCCAAAGGAGCGCATTACGCTCAAGTTCAGGGGTGAGGACGCAGAGGTGGTGGTGGCAAAGGGATTGGAGAGCAAGAGTAGGTCGAACAAAGAGAAACTTCTTAAAGCCTACCTGCCACCAGCTACCACCAATTAGGGAGCGGTGGGAAGAAGAGGTTGAGGAGATGGAGGTTGGAGTGGAGTGAAGTAGCAGATGAAGTTGAGGAGAAGAGGCTTGAGAATATGGGAGCGCTTGAGAAGCACTGCAGGTTTTGGGTGTCAGTTTTAAGGTGATGCCCGCGAGAACTCACTTCGCTGGGTTGGATTTTGGCCGTTGCTCTCTTCCAATTCAGTGAACGGCTTGGGAGTACAAATTGCAGAGTACAGACACACGCGAAGAGATTGAGGCCGAATTGAGAGTTCAGGATTCACTGCCGGATGAGGGTCCAGACAATCCATCTTCGCCAGATCGTGGAGATATATGAAGATATTCGGGGCCCGGCGGATGCTTCAGATAGGGCGCGATAAGCTAAAGGCGCTTTTTGGAATCGCATACTCATCATGAGTGGGCGCGCGGAAGGTGCTGACTCACATTGGTACTATATAGACTTGTAAAAAACAGTTTTGAAACTGCGGCTCCAGCCAAGATGAGGATGCTGAAGAAAATGCCAGGATCAGGCCACGTGTGAGAGAAGAGGCAGTTCACGGCCAGATGAAAAGCAGCCAGAAGGCCAAAGGAGAATGAACGAGCTGAGAATTGGAGAAACAGTCACAGATGCCACCGTGCATGAGCTCTGGGCTGAAGGAGAATAGTCTTGAACAATTTGTCGTTTCCTCCTTCTAGGATCAAAGGTAGCAACGCAGAAGTGGCCCTTCCAAGTGAGAGGGCGTGCCAGCAAACCCAGCGGCTTTCTTCAATTGAAGAAACGGTTTGAGGTGTATGGCTTTTGGGCAGGAAATCGAATCGGTGAAGATCACGCGTGCAGTTGCCAATCGCCTGATGGAGTTGCAAATGATGTCCAACCCTCAGTGCCACAGTTTGTGAAGCTACGGAATACATACAAATGTTTGCAAGACCCCCTTATTGCTGTTCCAGACGGCCCTCAAGGCTTTCACGGCGGCCGCATTTACAGGTATGAAGCGGGAAGAAACCGGAAGGTCAGATCATCTCTTCCATCAAGACAACATGGCAGAAGCTGGAGCAGAGGATAGAAGAGGCAGAAGCGGTTGATTGAGTGTGAAAAAGTGAGACAGAAGAAGCTGAACCCATGGGCAGACGGGGGAACAAGAGGTTCAGTTGCAGATCGATGTGGTCAAGATGACGAAGCAGAAGATCTTGACTGGAATCCGCAGAAGGCTCAGAAGCTATCCGCTTGGCGCGTGCGCAAGGCAACGCAACCTGCAGCGCGGGTGGACTGCGTAGCACAGCTGACGACTCTCACAAGAAAAGTGATGAAGAACCCCGATGAGTTGCGCCAAACGTCGAGATTGGCATCTATAGAGTGTTTGGTGGTGTAGACGCGTGTGTGTGTGTGTGACAACCACACATGTCTAAGGCGGGGTGTCATAGCACCCTGCAGCAAGGATGGCACGCAAATCAGGGCATGAAGATGCATGTCATTACGTACATGTTCCTTGACTTGAATGGCTCGAGGACGCCAAGAGGAAAGCCTTGAATGGTTGGGAAAAAGAGAACATGAAAACACGGCCAACGCGATGAGGAAAAGTACGAACTGTTTGGCAGAGTAGTTCACGCATAGACTGTATCACCTTTGAAGTCTTCTTTCCGCCAAGGAAAACGCAACATATACCCTTAGCCATTGAGAGCATAGTGGGCTTAGCGAAGTCTGTGTAGTGCTTGCCTGTTTTTCACAGTGTCTATCTGACTATCTTGTTGTCATGTCAGTAGCGTAATCAATTTTTCTTCAGGTCAAAAATCGTTTCTCCACTTTCTGGCTTTGTGTGTGTGTCCAGGACGTCTATTTGCATTCCAGGCGGGCACTGAAGCGCCCGGAAGCAAATCATGCTGCTTTTTGAGTTGTGGGCGAAGGCAGATGGGCGACGCTAAAGTGGGTGAGTTGGCAGCCTCCAAAGATCATGATACTTGCAAAGCAGCATGCAGCACCAAAGCAGTTTTGTTGAGTTTCTTAGTTTTTGCTTTGCAACCTACTCTGTTTTGCCCCACGACCTTCCATTTAGTGCCAAGATCTCCTTCACCATCGTCCGAAATGGCAAGGGTGAGCCTCAGGCCAAATCAGATGGCAGTTCAAAAGTGAACAGGACATGTGGAAACTCGAAATGAAACAGTGAGAAAACACTTCAATTTTGTGTTGTGAGGCACGAAATGTTATGCGAGCTGAAGAAGCCATGGCACTGAAGGCGAACCAAACGACAACAAAGATCGATCGACGACGTGTGTTCTGAGGCCAAGATTCAAAAGCGTGAGCGTGCCTCGAAAAGGAAAATTAGAGAGGAGAGGCACGAGAGTTGAAGACGGCGATTCGTCTCAGGTCGCGAGCAAGAACAAAAGCGCCAAAAGCACCAAGTGCTCGCGACGCAGAGTCTGCAGAGCGAAAAGGAACGGGACCGGGGCGGCGCGGCGCGGTGCAGTCGGAAGCTGAGGCTGGAGAAGGTCGTGGTCTCCGAGCGGGCGACCGTTGGACACCCAGAAAACGTTCAACACGGAGTGGGATGTGTGCCCTATAGGCCTATAGGTCTGAAGGAGCGGGATTGGGTCAGATCAATCTGTGTTTCGCTTTGTGCAATGCCAAGCCAGCTGCAGCCACGCACCATGTTATGCGCAGCCATGCACCTTTCAGGTCATGTCAGAAGAGGAGGCCAAGCGCTTTCAAGAGGCTTTGAAGAAGAAGCGCCTTTGACTTCAATTTCGGATTAAAAAGAGAACGAGATATGCAATTTTTGGGAAAGTTACAGGTTGCAAATAGATTGCAACTCTGCTGGTGATATGGCTGAGCTGGATATCGGAGCTGCATAGCGAATTCTCAGCGGATGTTTGTTTGAGCGCGTTATTATGTATTTTGTAGTTTCCCAAACCACACCACGACGGGTCCGTCAAAACACCGTTCAAAGCAAATATAAAACAACGCATGCGTGTGTTCACTTGCTTGAAAGATCCATTCTTCGATGTTCGTGACATTGAGGAGTATTAGTTTGTGGCCAAGTGTGGTTATTAAATAACCCATGCATGTACAAAACATGTGGTATCTTTCAATGGAAAATCAGGGTTGTTTTTCCCCACATTGTTGCGTGGGGTTCTTGTTTTTTTGCTGCACCTCCTCGCTCGTCCTCCTCCGTCCTCCTCCCTCCTTCCTCCTTCCTCCTCTCTAACTACAACCTCTCTCACACAACATCTGTCACAACAACATCTCTCACCACAACATCACTCACACAACATCACTCACACAACATCTCAACACAACATCACTCACACAACATCGGATGCACAACGTCTCACACACCACAGTGTGCAGATTTCGTGGCAGGCGCAGTAGTTTGTGACCCTCCGTGCGCAGATCTCGTGGCAGGCACAGCACTTTGTTGCTTGCCAAGGGGTCGGATGTACGCCCTGGCGTCGTCGATCCGGCGTCGGCTGGGCACCGGCGCAGATGTCGTGGCAGGCGCAGTACTTTGTTGCTTGCCAAGGGGTCGGATGTACGCCCTGGCGTCGTCTGGCGTTGGGTGGGGACCGGTGCAGATTTCGTGGCAGGCGCAGCACTTTGCTGCTTGCCAAGGGGTTGGATGTACGCCCTGGCGTCGTCTGGCGTCGGCTGGGCACCGGCGCAGATTTCGTGGCAGGCGCAGTACTTTGCTGCTTGCCAAGGGGTTGGATGTACGCCCTGGCGTCGTCTGGCGTCGGCTGGGCACCGGCGCAGATTTCGTGGCAGGCGCAGTACTTTGCTGCTTGCCAAGGGGTTGGATGTACGCCCTGGCGTCGTCTGGCGTCGGCTGGGCACCGGCGCAG